AACAATGAAAGGAGAAACAAATCAGCTGCTACTTTGGAGTCTGATTTTCTACCAGGATTTTCAGAGATGTAGGAAAATGTGCACAACCTGACCCCTGACAGCTACTTGACAAAAACCTCAGCCTGCATGAAATTTTCCATTTCCTCACGTCACACCACCTCAATGTGGCCCTGGCAAGAAGCACCTGCCACTCCTAAGAGAGCTGACTTTGCTGTAAGGTAGGACTTGAGCTGTGGGTGATGAATGACATCGCACAATGGCCTGATAAAAGACTAGGGTTTAAGCAGTGCCACCGCACGAACCCTGCCACGGAGAGCACTGGGCAAACACAACGGGCCTCCCCTACCGACTGCTGTCAGGGATTATGACCCCAGGAGAAAATGGCAACCTGCTGAGGCCAAGACCTAGATGTACATGTCCTTAAATCAGCTCAGGTGAGGTTAAGGCCGTAAGGTGACCCACACCTTAAAAAATGGGGACTGTGATTCCTGTGCTCCCTCCCCCAGTGTTTGCCGTACAACAAAATAAGGACGAGATCTCCTGCTGCCCCAGCAGGGCTGCTGCAGTCCAGAAAGGTTAGCGTCAAGTATGAGAAGGCAGAGGAGAGAAACAAATGCCAAATGCCTCATTTCTCCTCCTTGAACTCAGCACTGGGAGCCACTATGTGCTGGAACAGCCCACACTGCTCCCCATGTTTCATCTCCTCCATAGTCCTCTGGCTTCATTACTCCCACTCCCCAAGGGGAAGCCAGTCAGAGAAGTTAAGACGGTTCCCCAGTAGACCCCAAGAAAGGGCAGAACCAAAACAACCCTAGAAAGGACTTTGAAGCCCACCCATTTTCCAGGTCACCACGCAGCCTCTCGGGAATGCAGCCACATATAAGACATGAGTTAAACTTGAACAGTCCTAAGACAGCCCAGATGTGGCGAGGGCCGATTGAGCACCCACTCAGGGGGCCAGGGCGGAGCACTGCCCGAACACGCGCTGGCAGGAGGGCGCTCACCTTAGTGATTAGGAGTTTAGTTGATAACTTGAGCTGCAAATGGCTGCTGGTCACAAACATTTTCATCAGTAAATAAAACACAGATCGTTCTCCTCCAATAATCTCTGCATCTGGGCCTTCCTGGAGTTTGAACAATAGAATGCAACACACGTCAGGAGGCCGCGGCTTGTGACAAAGGTGCAGCACACCCAGGATACCGCCAGCCTTCGCCTTACCCTGTTCTGACCACACCTTGGCAAGACTGCTGAGATCTTATACATGAGGAACCTCAGGAGTTAGGCAACTCACCCCAAACCCCCAACAGCAGCTGTAGTACTAGCAGCGAGAGAGGAACAGTAACAGAAGCACAGCGGCCCTCTGTGTATGCTGGCACCACCTTGGTTTTATTCACACTCATGCCTTTTATCCTGGGCAGATAAAATCAACCTGCCCACCAATCCTGGGTGGTAGGGATGACTATTACCCAGTTTTTCACACATAGACATGAGGAGGTAACAGACTGCGTGATGGACAAGTGGGGAATGAATCCCAGGGACCGGGTGCAGTCGCTACCCTGCCTGCCGGCTGGTGGGAAAACAAAGCCCAGGCTGGGGGACTCGCCGAAGGCCGTTCGTGCTGCATTTCAGCGGATGTGGTACTGACCCAACACCACCTTATAGAGACAGCCTCTGACAAAGGCCAGTGGGCTTTTGGTATAGGTCTTACACAGAACCCAATTCCAAACTCCACCAACCATGTCTCTGGGGCGTCCCCTGCAGCCCCTGATGATCCTGAACACGGGAAGTGCTGGCGCTCATGAAGCCTAACAGACTGGGGTGGTATGGGGGACTGAATTTAAATTATTTTAACACCAGTTCTTCCAAAGAAAGAGGTCTTTGTTTCACTGGCCCTGTTCAGCTGGGAGAAGACCCAAAGGTTCCAAGCTGGTCGTCTCCCTGGGGTGGGTGGTGGTGTCCTCAAAGGGACTATGGCAGCACTGCCGGGTCTAATTGTGGATCCTCCTCTGACAGCTGGGCCCTCAGAACTGTCCTAACCTCTGTGCTCCAGCTGCCTTGCCTCTCCCAGGGCGTCGAGGAGTTGGGGTAAAGCAGGCCTGGTGTCAAGCAGGCACACATCACTAAGAACTCTCGAGGTTGGGGAAAAAAACAGAGAGCGCAGCACCACTGCCATCTCTGGCCTTCCTGGAAACAGCACATACTTCCCAGGCTACTGGTTTCCCACAAGATAGTAAATAAGACCCAAGGCATCTGAAAAACCACCTGACAACTAAAAACATGATGCCTAATTTTGCTTGGTCATTTTCCCTTTTGGATAGAAGAGATAACAGTACCCCATATTTAAATACACAGGTTGCATTTTGAGTCCCCTTTATGGCTCGATATTATACTGTCCCAGAAGTCTTAAAAGACAGGCCCTCCCTGGTGGCGTAGCGGGTTGAGCGCAGTGCTGTGAAGCTGTCCGCAGCCTCTGCAGCGCTGGTTTGATTCCCAGACGGCCAGGGAGACACCCACATGGCACAGCAGACCTCTTCTGTCTTGCCCGCTGTTCCCCGCAGCAGTGCTTTCAATCTGTCTGCCTGTTCTGTGCCCCACTCTGTCTCTGGTGAATCCTCTCACCCTCCCGCACCTCTGGCCTGTACCCTAGCTCTTGTATAAATAAATAAATCTTAAAAAATTAAAAAAAAAATGACAAGGAAAACATAAAATGGTCAAGATTAAAAATGCTAAGCGCTCCCCCCCCCAAAATGCTAAAACCCAGCAATGTAGTTCAGTAAAGAGACATTAAGCACCTTAATTTGCAAAAGCAAAGAGATTCACAGATGGCCTAGCTCTGCTCTGAACAACCCTCTCGAAACAGAGAACTGATGTCCCCCTTCAGGATCCAGGCTCGCCAGGGTCCTGATCCAGTTTGAAAGTCCCAGGTCAGAAGGTCAACAAACCCAGTAGGTCAGTGAAAGAGAGCAGTCGGGAGCCTCCGCTCCTACCTGGGCCTTTAACCATAACAGCTTGCTGGCAGGCAGTTCCAGCGCCACCTGCAGCATGTGGTGCTGCAGAATGGGGGGCACCTCCTCTCGAAGGCCCTGCTCGGAGGTGATGCCTGCAGGCGGAGAGGGGAACAACAGATGAGAAGTGGTGAGGAGGTGGGTGCCCACCCAGCTGCCACCCCTGCCAGAGGAGGAGCTAGGTACTTCCTGTTTGGAAATAAAAAGGAAGGAAGCGGGGTCCATCTCCCCTGCTCTGTGCCCACCTAAGGCGACTGCCCAACATGCCTCACCTGACATGACCCCGCCTCCTGAAGTCTAGCCAGATCCTTCAACCAAAAAGCCCAGATTCTACTGACCGAAGCAGTCTTTCCCTCTGCTGGAAGCCCCACCCCCACCAGGATGCCCTCCAGGTGTGGCCCTACATAATGTCACCTCGTCCTGGATGGCCTCACTCCCAGACCACAAAGACTCTCGGGGTAGACTGTGGCTCCCCAAGCTGGAAACTGGTTCTTGTGCTCTGGCCTGATTTCCAGGCCCTTTGCTTGGGAAGGACACAGCTACTAAATACTAAGTGACCACATTCTAGTAAATTACTTGTGCTCCTGGCAAAGAGAACTTTTGCCCTCAAACAATAAAAAGCTAATCATAGCCTTTGGATATAGGACCATTTCAATGTCTTAAAAAACTCAAAGAGGGGCACTTCCGCAAGGCTCTTTGGCAAGCCCAATTATAAAGTCAGTTTCACTAGACAGCCTGTTCAAGCGTGGTGTGCGCCTACCTTGCCGAGTGAGCCATGAGCAGGAGGCAGAGCGCCTGCCAAGGGCTGTGCTTTCTGCAGCCCCTGTGCAAAGGCATGAGATGAGGGTTGGCCTCTCTGACCTCAACTGTCAATCAGTCACTGCAGGCAACTCAAACTGCTGTTTCTCCCTTCTTTCACTGCTAAGCAGTCATCTGATACTTAATTAAGAAAGACCATCTATTTAAGATCTCAGTCCAAATAAAGTTAACCAGGCCGGAGGAGCAGCACGCTGGCCAAGCTCCCCACCAGTCCTCGCTCCTCAGCTTTGGGGCTCTAATCTGGCGCCTCAGCTCCTCCCTCGCCCCTGGCACACATGGTAGAAGGTGCCTGCGCTGGCTCAGACGCACCTTTCAGCAGCTTGCTGAAGTCGAAGTTGTACTGCATGACCACATGCGGCACCACCTTCTGGTAAAGGCATATGACCTGGAGCAGGGCCGCTTTCAGAAGAATGGTCTCTGCATCATCTGAACAAAATAAAACAGCAGACATTAGGGAAGTCCTCAACAGTGACAGGTACGCTGCTTGGCAGCTCTGTTTCCCAGTCCCCAGCACATGGACTGCACACGGACGCTGTGGAAAGGCCCGCAGGGAGCCAGATGGAAGGAGGCGCTGTGGGAAGAAAGTCAGGCCTGTGCAAACAGCCGGGTTTCGTTTCCCTGCAGCGGACTCAGCAGGTGTCATGAAGCTGCCCTGTCCCTGTGTCCTTGGCTGAACAATGGAGGCACAGCAGGGCCCGGCCTGGCAGACACAGAGCCTATCACCTGCCCACTAACAAGGGCTGAGTCAGTGCATCTTATTATGGGGGGACCTTGTACCCACATTAACATGCTGAGAGAGCCCCCCAACCACACCCTGGAAAGGCCAGAGACATGCAGTCACTGTTCTTCAAGTCTTTTGAGGTACAGTGGTGGCATAAATTGTGAGCACATCTCTAAGAAGACGTTAAAATTCAACCTGCAACTCCATTCAAATTCTCCCTCCCAAGCAACAAAGGAACCCAGGCTTCATTCACAGCAGGGAGGCCTTCACAGGCCCCCCTAGACAGTAGCCATTCTGCTGGCCTCTGCTCCACTGCAGGCCACGGGAGTCCTCACCGCACTGGGGAGCCACAGTGGCAGCAGGAGACCTCTTGCCCATCTTCGTCCCTTTCTTATCATCCTGTTTTGTCTCTTGCTTTACAAGTGACTGCCAGACCCACACGACGGTGTTGAGATCTGGTACAATCTACAATAGAAAGGCAAAGACCAAAAATCAGTTACATTAAACAATGAAGAGAAATAAAGGAATGAGCAAGGAGAAACAAAAAGTAGCAGGGAGGTGCAAGCACGTGAGAGTGTACATGCGTGTACGTGACCGGGCACACATGAGTGTACATAAAAATGAGTGTGAGTGTGTAAGAAAGAGGCAGGATGGTGGGGGAGAGAACAGGCCTTTTGTGAGCTCTAGATGATGCCTAGAAAGGTACGTGAGGACTGGGGGGGGGGGGATGCTGATAAATCAAATAAATCTCTTAAGACTCATCTAGGCAAGCAAGGGAGCTGTTCATTAAGGACAAAGTCACACATCATAATGGCGGCGGGGAACCTGACAGACAAGGAAACCACCCCCCTCCTCACTCACCAGACTAAGCCAAGAGGAGAAGAGGGAAGAGGGGCTTCCAAAACACACCCCCTGAGCAAGTATGTGGGGGTATAAAATAGGACTTCCTCCAACAGGTTCAGTTAGTTTCCAAGCTGAAATCAACATTTGCCTAGGTGACATTAACTTGGAGATTTCACATCCCAAGGAAGGTCCCACTTCTCCCCCCAGGAATAGGATGAATTCCTGTAATTTGTACAACTTGTACTGTTTTAAGGAGCAGGACTTCCAGAATGGCCAAGTAAGGAGCTCAGCAATCTCCCTAAAAAGCAATAATAAAACTGAACAGACTTGTCACACACCACACACACACAACACACACACACACAAAAGACTGGAAATTGATAAAAAGGTGTCAAAGGAGAAGTATTTTTTCAAGAAAGGGTACTGAACTCCACCCAATAACACTTGTGGGAGCCTGTGATGGTTTTGCCTGGGGCTGCTCGCATCCCAGCACCCCTTGCCCGAGCTCTGCAGCACAGAAGTTCCACCAAGACTCCCCAAGGGGCTGCCTTTATTTGGAGTGAAGTGTGGAGAATTCCATGTCAGTGTGGCTGACATCGCAGCTAGTCTGAGGTCTCAGTAGTGCTTAGGTTTAGCAGTAGACTGGCAGACTGGCCAGAGATTTAATAGCTCCTCAGAGGAGACAGCCTACTTTACTCTTGGTGGTTCTGAAGGCTGTTGCTCCTGGCAAGGCTGTGTGCACCTATGGGGAGACTGTAAAAGGTTAGTGAGCTACTGGTCCCTGGCTGTGAGGCCTTGCAAACAGAAAAAAGCTAGAATAAACTTGGAAACTACTCAGATTTTGATTGCATTTCCCAGGCCACACACATACTTTCAGCAATGGGTGGAAACCTTATTGACTCAAGGTTTAATTAATTGATTAATTTCTGATCAATCATAGGCTGACCACTAAGCCCAGTGATCCCTGGGAATCCAAGCTTAAAAATACAAACGAATTTAAAACCCACGCTAAGCAGAGACATCCAGTGGGACGAGGGATGTGGGTGAAGAGTGAAAACACATAAGCAAAAAGAATTGCACAGAATCTAGAATTGCTACCACACTGTCTACGATACAATTTACAACAAAAAAAAATTATGAGAAATGCAAGTAATCAGGAAAGTGACCCCATACCCAGGAAAATAAGGCATCAATAAAAACCCAGCAGGATCAGAATTGTGGGGATCGGTATATAGTTTTCTATCTGATTGGCACATAAAATGGTTAGACACAATTTCGCGAGTCCATATTAGTGTTCTATGTTATGGCTATACCATGTTGTAATAGTTCTACCATAATTTCTCTAACCTGGCCCCTACTATGAACCATACCACATTTAAAAGTAGTGCTTTCATTTGATTAACATGTATTACAACATCCACATTTCTCACTTTCCTTAATACAGTTTTCTAAAGATGAAATTTAAAAATGAACTATTGAAACTCCCGGCAAGTGCGGCAAATTAAGCTCCAGGAAAGTTGTACAGTAGTCCACCCGCATCAGCAGTGAGTTTTTTTTACAACTCCCAATAATCGCTAGCTAGGTGTAACGGGTGAAACTGTATTTACTTATTTCTTTGATTACAGTGAGTGTTGAGTAATTTTCCACATGTCTATTAGCCATGTATGTTCTGTGAATACCTGTTCATGTCGTTTATGCATTTTTCAATGGTATTTTTGTGTTTCATTATGGACTTTGAAGGATTCCTCATCAACTATTCTTTGTTGGTGACCAGGGATCTTTTTATTATTGGAGCAATTTTTAAAACCCATATTATAAAGTTTCATTACATGTGAAAAACAAATAAAGCAATTTAGAGAAAGCAAAAAAGATGGGAACTATACTGATGGAGAGACATGATTAAGAACCAAATATATTTTGAGAGAAGCTGATAAAGATGTTGAGAAAGACATGGTATGCATTACAGATTTAAAAGAAACCCTATTCAAAAGTTAACCAAAATGAAAAGCCATCATTTTCCTGAGATCTGGGTATGATATCCATCTTCTGTAATGGGATATAGATTCAAACTGTTGTTGGAAGCCTACCATGTGGGTGCCATGGGATGGAAGTTCGGTGGGAGGGAAAAAACCCCACAAGATCCGCTCTGCTCTTAATGAGGAAACATGCAGCTGAAAATCACTTAAGGCAGGAAAAGGTGCTAAACAGAGGAAAAAAGCAGGGTGCTCTGGGAGCGCAGACGTTACAATTACTTACTGATGCCAGGAAAAGTTTCATGCGGAAATTGGCATTTCTACTTGGTCATGGAGATTAAGTAGAATTTTTCTAGGTGGAGGATATGGGAAAGGGTTTTCAAGAGAGGATTACCAAAAAGCACAGGCAGAGATCCTGACCCAGGCATGTTCCCAGATCCCAGCCTTACCTTCTATTAAACACAATCCATCAGTCTTCAAGTGGTTCTTAATACCGGCAGAAATAAACAACACAAAACAGCACCTAGTAAAATTTGTTATGAATTAGAAAAAAATGAGTGAAGACTAATTTTAAGTCATTGGAAACAATTTTTTAACTCAATTAAAAACACCATTGAAAATTCTCTCCATAAAAATAATCAACACAATAAAACTGACAATGGCAAAAACTTTACACAATGATATTTGTAGTTGTAGGCTGGGCTCCCTGAAAGCTGAGTCCTCTTGAGGCTAGCGAGAATGAGAGTACAAGTTATTTGAGAGGTCGTTCCAGAAAGCATCAGTAGGGAGGGGAGAGGTAAGACAGGGATGGGATGAACCATTAAAGTTTGCATCATCCAGCAGTTCTCCACTGGGGGTGACCACATTCAATTCCCTCCCCTTCTATCCCACCCCCTGAAAAGGCAGTGTGAAAACTATACCTCAGAGTCATCCCACCAGAGGATAGGGGTGAGGGAGCCGGGTATTCCTCCAACTCTTACCTGCCATTGGCTTAGCGATTGTCCCAGGCACAGTAACTCCTCAGCACTTTTGGCCCACGGTGGCCAGCTGAGAGAGAGCCTGCAGGTGGGGCTTGCAGGCTTTTGCCCTTGGAAACCAACCACCATTCTCAAGTGCAGAAGGTTGAGTGACAAGGGGGTGTGGAAGGGCCACCATGTACTATCTGCTGCAGTTTGTATTGACTCAAAACTCTGAGTAGAGTCACATCCTCTTAGAAAAATTTAGACCCACAAAATTTGCACCACAAGAAATTGGTAGACATAATTGTCATAAAGTAAGCTCACTCGTAAGAGGTTAAAATTTAAAACACTTTATTTAGACAAAATTTAAAATAATTCTTCGCGGTGACATTTACAAGATTAAGAATTTTCCAGATGAATATAATTTTGGTAAAACAAAAACATAACATTAGAAACATTTTACCTGAAGTATATAGGAAATTGATAGGAGATAATGAAATAGATTTGTTTGCTCAAGAAAATATGTTCTTCATAAAATTTCATCAATGTTGGCATGATTCTGATTAGAATGTTTGTACTCACAAACATGGAGTCCCACAGTGTCCTCAGGCTCAAAAACAAGAGGAGGATCGAAACATCCTGTTCTTGAGTTGCTAGAGGCCAAAAAATGAAGAGGATTTGTGCCAGGGGAAATTGCATGGGTAAATGCAGAGTGGAAAAGCATATGGAATGCTTTGGGAATGATGAATTCCTCACTGACAGAGCTATGGGAGCAGATGTTAAGCAAAAAAAAAAAAAAAGTAATATTTATGATATTCTGTGGATCTGCAGATTTCTTTGTTGAAAGAGGATAAGAGAAAAATTGGATCTTACAGCTCTCCAGAGAAATTCCTCACAACTTTTCACTAAAATATCCCATGACCTTACAGGAAAAGACTAAAAACCCATTAAAATAACAAGAGATTGATAGACAACATAATATAAAATTGTGAGCAGCCTTGAAAATAATTTTAAGGCAAATGGAGTTAGACAGAAAAGTAGATCTATACTTCTTCCTTACGGAATATTCAGGCTTCTCTTCATGAAAGAGCAACTGGAGAAAAATTTTTTTAAGTTACATTTTCCTTGCTCCACCAGCTGTGTCCTGACTCAGATATCCGGGCCTTCACTAGCCAAAGGATTGGGCCCGCAGCGCTCTTGATACCGAGGAGGAATCCTGTGAGGCAGGATTCCTGAGTTTTGCCCCTCATCTCAAAACCCTTTTGCCTCCCTCCCCCACCCCAGTCCACCCACTGTCTTTTTACATTTTTTTTAAAAGATTTATTGATTGATTGATTTTTATTGATTTATACATACATACATACATACATACAAACAAGCACTGGGTACAGTCAGAAGCGCGGGAGGGTGAGAGAATTCACCAGAGCCAGAGCGGGGAACAGAGCAGGCAGAAGGACCGAAGTACACTGCTGAGGGGAGCAGCGGGCGGCAGGAGAGGTCTGCGCGCCATGTGGGACCCTCCTCCGGTGGCCGGGGAGCAGCCGGGGATCGAACCGGCGCTGCAGAGGCTGCGGGCAGCTTCGCAACCCAGCGCTCAACTGCTGCGCCACCGGGAGGCCCTCTTTTCACATTTATATGTGGACACAGAGGACCCCTGTGATGAACCCCAGTAGTCAGGAAGTAAGAGCAG